TTAAGTATGAGAATCAGAGTTAAAAGAAACTCTAAGTATCAATTAGGAGCGTGGTGAGGTTGTGAGTTTTCCTTGCGTTTGCTTAACTGTTTAGTGCTTTATCAATGTGTTTAAAGTGCTTTTGCTTATCTTTTGAAAGTAAAGTAGAGAAGTTATCAGTGAGAAGTTGAAAGAAAAAAACCAAGAGTTTGAAAGTTGAAAGTAGAAGTGAAAGCTAAGAAAGCTAGAAGTTAGAATGTGAAAGAAAAACCTCGTGAGGTTGCTAAAAGTAAGAAGTATACGAGTTTATGCTTATGTATGTTTGTTTATGTGCTTCACTTGTTGTGAGCCTTACCTTTGAGAAAAGAAGAGTTAAATGTTGAAAGTTAGAAGTTAAAAGTTAAAAGTGAAAGTTATGTGTGAGAAGGATAAGAGTTACACATGAATCTTGATTATGTGTATGTTTAACATTCAGTTTGCTTTATCTTGAAAGTTGAAAGTTGAAAGTTAGGTGGAAGTTAATGTGATAAGTATAAGAGTTATACTTATATCCTGTTAATGTGTCTTTTTATGCTTTTGGATAGATAATGGAGAGATCTTCAAAGATTAAACCCAAAGAATAGAAGTTAAACTTCAGGTACAAAGAATTGGAACTTAAGTTTGAGTTACACAAAAGTAAGACAGTTCCCTTTTGTCTTTAAAGAGATATGAAAGGGATGAGCTGGGAGTTGTAAACTCCGAAAGAGTACAATCTAAAACGATCGGTTGGATAGTAACATTGGACCTTGAGATTTATGAAGATAGGAAGAAACGTTGTAAGAAAGTTGTGTGATTCTATGAGGTGCGAAGAAACTAAGGAATGAGTTAAGTAAGAAGGGACAAGTAAAAGAATGTAGAGTTAGGGATGATGAGTTATGTGAGAACTTAAAGAAGGATTTTAGAAATGAGAATGAAACAAGAGCTAGTTGAGCATATGATATAATGAATGAGATGATTGGAAGACTAAGTTCAGTAGAAGTAAATCTAAAAGATTAGTCCAAACAGTGAACCTTTTGAATGGGGATGAGCCTCTATATCGAAGGACTTTTGAAAGGGTGTGTTGTGGCTAAGGCAAGAAAGAAAGTATTGTTAGGAATTTCGTTTGAAATGATATGGTGAAGATTAGTAAGAAAGAAATAAAGCCGGAGTTTATTGAACCACAAAGAATCTTGGAAAAGATTTGGGAAAAAGAAATTTGTAGGAGGGTAATGCCAACTAAATTAGATAAGGATTTAAAGTGTAGTGAAGGAGTATGGACGTATTTATCGTGCGTGAACTCTTTTGATGTAGAGAGAGTGAACAAGACTATTAATTTGAGCAATTATTTGCTCGAATTCAAACAATGATAATATCAACAAACATAAACGATTCAAACCATATATATCTTCAATTGCACTATATAAACTTTATATATATATTTCTTCAATTTTAAAAACGTATAAATAAAAAAAAAATTAAAGGTACCTTTAACTTCAACAATTTGTAACATGTTTGTTTTTTTTTTTTTTTAATTGAGTCAATTTCAACAGAGGTCTCATTTGTCTTGTGGCAATTCTAAATTTAGTTCTAGACTATCGTTTCTTTCATTTAACACTTTAGACTATCATATTTTGGACACTTTTGGTCCTCCTGATGACGTTTCCGGTGAAACCTTATTTTAGGCAAGGGTCTTTTCGTCCCTTCATTTTTTTGCTAATTAGTTAATTCTAGCAAAGGTTTTTGTCTTTGGTAGCAATTTCAAATTTAGTCATAGACAATCGTTTTTTTCCATTTAACAACCCAAACTATCATATTTTGGACACTTTTGATCAATAAGATGATTTTTTCTAGTGAAAACCTATTTTTGGCAATGGCATTTTCGTCTCTTCAATTATTATTATTTTTTTTCTGATGTTCGTCTCATCAGCCATGGATTGAACAAACTCCTTCACCTAGCTTGTCTTCATATCCTTCAACTGGCCCCAAATCGTCATTCGTCAATGACGACACCTAGTATGTGAGGACCTCCTGATGTAGGGGAATCATTTTGCAACGCAGTTGGAAAGCTCAGAATTTCACCACCCGGTCGACTTTAGTCTGACCGCTATTATTTTAGTCTATGGTTATGTGAATCAACTACTATAGTTGTAGAGAAAAAAAAAATATCTTCATAAAAAAAAAATCATTTCCTAAAAGGACCAAATGTGTCCAAAATATGATACTCTAGTGTGCTAAATGACAAAAACGATTGTTTGTGACTAAATTTGGAATTGTCACCAAAGACAAGGGATCTCCGCTGGAATTAACTCATTGAAAAAATAATAAAAAATTTGAAGAGACGAAAATACCCTTGCCTAAAAAAAGGTTTCACTGAAAAAGTCATAGGAATGACCAAGGGTGTCCAAATAATATGATAGTCTGGGTATTAAATAAAAAAATATAGCCGGAGACTAAATTTAAAATTGTCACCAAAGACAAAAGATCTCTACTAGAATTAACTCTTTAAAAAAAAAAAAAAAAAACTTAACTGATCCAAGTACGCCAGACTAATCTTAAGTGCATAGGACCATCCACCTAGAGCATAGTTAAATTATTCATGTTTTTAGTGGGATTTGAACACCTACACTGTTACCTTCCATCATGGTATCAAATTAAGCGATAAATCACGATGAGAACTGTAATGAATTGTATTAATCTGTAGGTCCATACATCTATACCCCCTAAAAGACTCAGGATAACTAAGAAAGACACATGGAGAGGATCTATAAGTCATTTTGTGACGATTATATGGACGAAGATGAGGATAACACAGACAGCTAAAGACACGAAAAAAAAAAAAAAAAAGAATATGAAGGAGGCCAGGGGATTTATGCAATAAAGAATGAGGACTGGAGCTATTTAAAATAGTAGATGGCATTCTATTAATTAAATAAACCGCAGTTTCAAATGCAAAATCCCAAAACCTAGATGGAACAGACACACGAACCATGAGAGTGTGACCGGTTTCGACAATATGTCTATGTTTTAGCTCTACACTGCCATTTTGTTCGTGAGTATAGGCACATGAATGTCTATGATAGATCCCTAATTTTGTGAGAGAGGAATGCAACTTTTTTTACTCGGCACCTAAATTAGATTGGATAGATTTGATCTTACGATTAAAGAGTCTTTCAATAAGAACACGAAATTTCTCAAAGATATCACAGAGATCATATTTTTGTTTCATGGAAAAATACCAAGTGAAGCGTGAGAAATTATCAACAAAGAGAACAAAGTATCTATAACCATCAGAAGATAAGAGAGGAGTTGGACCCCAAATATCAATATAGATTGAATCAAGAATGTTGGAACTAGAAGTATCAACACGTGGTAATGGAAAACGAGCAGATTTACCCATTTGACACGCATTACATAAACTAGAATTACAACGAATAGCACTACTAAACCCACTAACCGAACAAAAGGGAAGAATACGACTAAGGACACGATGGTGTGGATGGCCCAAACGATCATGCTAGACCGAAGGTAACACACGAGCTAAAAGAAACGCGGAAAGTGACAAACTAGGAACTGGTAGCGTGTATAACCCACTAGAACTATTGCCCCGAAGAAGAATTTCTTTGGTGTTGATATCCTTCACAACAAAAAAGGATGGATGAAACTCAAAGAATACTTTATTATCAGCAGAAAAATTTTGAACCGATAATAAAGAGGTATATAAAGTGGGAGCATGAAGTATATTAGATAGATGAAACGACCTAGAGGGGGTATGAAAAGATGCATGACCAATATGACTAATAGGCAAACCTGTACCATCATCGACACGAAGTGTGTCATTACCATTATATTCGTCCGAGATAGAGAGTGCTGTTATATCTGGAGTCACATGATTTGTTGCACCCATGTCTGGAAACCAAGTATGAGAGTCTGGTGAAGAATCTGAAGGAGCTCCCTAGTAGACCATATTAGCCAATGGATCCTTTTCATACTGTTTGTAACAAGTGACCGCAGTGTGCCCTAGGATCCCACAAAGTTGACACTTAGGTTGGTGATTATCGTTCCTACCGCCACGACCACGACCACTATTGCCGCGACGGTCACGACCACTATTGTCGCGACAACCACCACTGCCGCCATGAGACTGCCTAGATTGACCGCCGGACTACCCGGAGCCACGCCCGCCGCCACACGACGAGCCGCCCTTGCCGCGCTACTGCTGCCCGGATTTCTGGATGGAAAAAGCTGTCGGCGACGCATTCGGCCCCCCACTGCCGGCAACAAATTCCTCGGCACCAAGGAGATCTGAGAGCTCATGGAGCGTGACCGGTGTTCCGCGGACGTTGAGAGAAGAAACAAGACCCAAAAATTCAGGCTGTAAACCCCGAAATACGTATAGGTTTTGTTCTTCAAGAGGGACATGCCGGCCAGGGAGAATAAGATCCTCTATGAGAACTTGAGCACGGCCAATATAGTCGGAAACGGAGGCGTCACCCTACTGAAGACTCTATAGCTGCCCGAGAAGATTCAACGAGCGAGACCGAGATGATGAGGCCAGAGCAGAGGTAACCGTCCATACCGCACATCTCGTGTGATTCCTGATCGCCAAGGGCATAAGTTCATCCGATAATGAGGACATGAGCATGGAGATGATGGCCTAATCTTGGCGAACCCATGTGGGGCGATCAAGATTCGGCAGCGGCAACACTCCTTCTTCGTCGGTCGAAATCATGGCCAGCAGACAACGGTTTGATCCATTAATAAAACCCATTAGATCATGTCCGTTGAGAAAAGGAACAACTTGAGCTCGCCAGAATAAGAAGTTCCGATAGGTCAGTTTTACACTGATAAAGTGTAGCACCCCACATTTCTAACTCTGAATTACATCTCTAAACAGTCATTAACGTAACTAAGCAGCGGAAAACTAAATGATAAATAGTGGGAGTGTCACTGCCACAACCACCACTCGTTGGTGATTGCACAAGCTAAATGGGTAAAACTAGAAATAAGATTAAGTCTGGGTACTAAAAATAAATATTGGAAATGTAAGGGGGAAAAACGTCACCCCAACATAGTCTACATCAATCCTCAAACATAAAGTCGATAAAACTACAATCCATACATAGCATCAATGGTACTAGAGTTTAGACATCTCTATCTACGAGACTAATCTAACTCGATTTCTTCACACTGCTGGGCCCACCTGAAAGGGATTTTGCAAGCAACACATAGACAAATAGGAAAACACCAGTTAGCACGAAGCTAAGTATAACCACACTCAACCCTGTAAAGTGTTCTAGCATATACTTTGAAAACATTTGATATCTTTATAGCAATAAGCTAATCTCAAATCATCTTTAGATTATCATATTCTTTCTAGATGCTTGCACCCTATAATATCAGCTGGTATGCTTATGTATGTACAAGACTGTTCACATAGACTCAACAGCTTATAAACTTCTCAGATAACTTAACAAGCAACTCATGCTTACGGATTGGATCATGTTAAAGGACTATATAACAGGTGTTTACATGCTTTCACATTCTTATCTCATAACTTGATAAGTAGAGCTTCTAATAAAACACGATAATCATGCTCAAAGGAAAAATCTTAAGTGTCAAACTTCTCGTTATACAATCTCTTACGATGCTCTATTCGCATGCGATCACGTATAACATTATGATCATACTTCTTATGCAATCTAATGCAATAACATATTCATACTCATATGCAATCTCGTGCAATTATATAATCATACACTTATGCAATCTAGTGCAACAATATACTCATACTCATATGCGATCTAGTGCAACAATATAATCATACTCTTATGCAATCTAGTGCAACAATATACTCATACTCATATGCAATCTAGTGCAACAATATAATCATACTCTTATGCAATCTAGTGCAACAATATACTCATATTCATATGCAATCTAGTGCAATAATATACTCATACTCATGCAATCTAGTGCAACAATATAATCATACTCTTATGCAATCTAGTGCGACAATATACTCATACTCATGCAATCTAGTGCGACAATATACTCATACTCATGCAATCTAGTGCGACAATATACTCATACTCATGCAATCTAGTGCAACAATATAATCATATTCTTATGCAATCTAGTGCAACAATATAGTCATACTCATATGCAATCTAGTGCAATTATATACTCGTACACTCATTTATAAATTAGAGTACTTTCTATGGAGGTTTCTTTGTTACTTTCTCGAGTCTCTCTTGACACTCTTTCTTTCTCTCGAGTCTTTATTGACTCTCATACTTGAGTCTTTGTTGACTCTCTTTCTTAAGTCTCTGTTGACTCTCTTCTTTCTCTTATACTCGTAGACGGCTTAGGGTTTCACAGAAGTGTGAATTATCCCATCGGGAACAGCATAATTCCGACTCAATATCTCCTATCGTCTACGGAACCAATCTCGTGGTTCAAACTCTGTGGAATCAGGTATCGAACTACTAGTGTGTGCACCCCCTAACCAGGATTCCAAGCATGGTGGGAAGTTTCCAACCTCGTAACGTGGGAATACGCCGCGTTACATATACTGGGACCGCAATGTCCATAAATATCTCCCGAGAGGAACATAGTCCAAACGGTATCCTCCAAAACCTCACCGATATAGATAATACATAAATATATCTCTCATGCATGCAACAATTCTACTACTTCTCAATGCATCAAAGAATGCTATACCACATGCTTATGGTTTTTGAAAGTATTCTTGGGCTCACGTTGGCCCTTATGCATTTTTGAAATATGACTCATGTGAAATGTCAAAATGCTCTATAACATGCTTCTAAATCATGTATAAACTAACATGAAGTATTCAAGAATATATCATCATGCTCTGTTTGCAACATAGCAATTTCTATATAATTCACTCAACAAAATAAGATTCGTTCCAAATTTGATCAAATATCACAATTTAATCATGCTTTCATAATAAATCATATTCTCAAATGATCATGCTTCTGTACTTAATAAAATATCATCAGATCACAATAATCAAATAATTCTTCATACACAGTAAACTTAGCAAATATGCACTGTATAGCAATTCTTCACAATTTCCTTCATAACATACTCGTTTTTAATCCAAATTCAACGAAGTCAAAGCCAAAACGTGCGTCGAGACAACCCCGAAGAGCCGAGCCACAAGGGCCCGTAACACTTGGTCCAAAACGACACGTAGCTGAGCCACAAGGGCCCGGCCACTGCACAAAAATCCTTCACAAACTATACTCAGGGACCTGGGGCGGGACTCCTCATGGTCCGTCCCTGGAGCCCGGTTAAAGCACCGGGACTAGGCAACGGCCCTCCTCTAGGGTCGTGCCCTAGTCCCGTGCCACCACGGCTCTAGCCGGCGGCCATTCTAATGGGCCACAGTTAGGGCCGCCCCTCTGATCTGGTGCACACTGTGTTGTGCACCATATGGTGTTTCACCTGCAAAAACTAATCCAAACCAGTCCAAAACAATCTCAACAATTCACAAACATATACTAAATCACTTCTAAGCATGAACAAATCAAAAACTCATTGTTTTCTACTCATTTCTACTCATAACTAAGGCTTCACAGAGCCAAATTTAAAGAGGAATCCATGGGGTTATACCTTTAACCGAGCTCCAAAAGTTAAGCACTTGATTCTTTGACTCACTCCCGAGCTAACCACTTTAACAAAGAACCTGTAGATCAACCGATCCTCTTTCGTTACTCATACTATTATTAATAATAATAGTAGTATTAAACCATATCTTTTTATCTTTGTCCCAAAACTCCCATTCTTATCATAACTCAACCATTTTATATAGTGTCACCACCATATTTAGACTCATCATATCATTGGATAGCTCATTTATACTTCATTTATCCTTCCAAAATCATAAAACACCAACAAAGCTAAATATGTTGTTACATAGCTTCAAACCTAAGTTCTCTTCTAAATCAAACCAACCCTCTGACTAGTCTGCCACATCAACTATTTAATCATATTAACAACATTAAATACCTACGCACCATTATTAGATTATCATTAGTCCATCATCAACATCTATACCCAACATTCCATCGTTATCTTCCTCATTAAACAGAAGCTCACCCATAACTGCCGAGGAGAGCACAACCACTGCACTGCTATCTCGCCGGAACCAGGGTCGCCGGAGAACCGAAGGACGCCGCCGGGAGAGGAGCTCGCCGGAGGAACACCTGGGTCGCCGAATCTGCTTCGTTCCACCGGAAAAACGGCCACGCCAGACCTTGAGAATGCCGGAGCATTGCCACACCCCTGCTTCACTCTATCCGTTGACTCTGTTGTTCGCTGGAGGAGGTCGCCGGCCACTGTCCATCTACTTCCGGCTAAAAACGAAGGAGGGAGGAAAGGAAGAAGGTGGAGGTTGCAGCTGCTGCGTTGCCGTCGCCACCACGGGTCTCACTGACCCGCCGGCGAGAGAGAGGAGGGAATAGGTGCGGCTGATCTGCTGTCCGTTTCTTTTAACGAGAGAGACGCGATAGAGAGAGCTGATGGAGGTGAGTGTGGCCGCTGGTTTCAGCTTCCATTAGCTGAGAGAGGAAGACGGAAACAAGGGTTGTTTGGCTGATGAAGAAATGGACGAGAGCTGCTCAGTAAATCTTTTCTTTTTGGTCTGAAGGCAACAAAACGCATATTATATACTTCTCCGCATATATACTTAATAAACATAGGTTAAAATTTAAATAGTAGGGCAGCTTACTAAGTTGGGCTAGACTATTTTAGGAGCTTGGGCCAACTGGGTTGGGCTTGGGTTAGACTATGAATAATAGTTGGGTCAAAATATTTTGGACAAGAATGAATTACACTTGGCTCAAAATTACTTATTCTACACTGATTTTCTCGCAAAAATTTTTATGGAGTGAAAATTGGCTAATTTGAAATTTCTTAAAATTAGATTTATGAAATAAAATTTTGGGTTGTTACACTCTATCCCCCTTAAAAGAAGTTTCGTCTCGAAACTTAGAAGGAACGAGGGGATCAAAATCTCGAAGGATAAAAGAAGATATAACAAAGAGGCTAGGACTCTCTGTTGAAAAATACTACTTGAGACTTGTTGTCAAAAAGGCTTAGGATCAAAGAATATGATACGAACTGCAAGTCTACTCTTTGGAATGCTATTGATTAACAAGATCAAGATTCTCAAGATTACAACTTAGAAGATAACGTTGTCACCTTGTACAGATTCAATCAAGAATGATAGTTGAAGGGATAAAAGGGATTTCTCAATGAAAAGGGATACTCAATTCCATAAGGAAGAACGAGAAATTTTATCTCAAAAGGGAACATGAATTGACTTGGAAAGAGTTTCTTCGGTTTCACGATTCGATCAAAATGCTTGACGATTCGATAGCTCTTATTCTTACTAATCTTTATCATTTCCCTTCAGATAAAACTCTTAGCAATACCATCTTAGTCTTTTAACAATTCAATCCCCTTACCAAAACTCAACTACTTCTTACCTCATTCTCATCATTAACTTTCTTTCTTTAAGCTTTCACACAACTTATCATTTCCAAGTTCACATCCCTTAACCTTTCATTTCTTACTTAATTCAATTCTAAATTTCCCACTCTTCATAAGATCACACAACCTTCTTACATCTTTTATTCTCATCTTCATATATCTCACAAGCCAAAAGGCATTGGCAATCTTCTTAAGCTTCATTTCTTTCGGAGTTCACAACTCCTGTCTCATCCATTTACTATTTCTTCAAAAATAGAGGGAATCATCTTCACGTTTATTTAATCCATCCTTAAGTCCAATTTCTCGGTGCTTCAAGTTTTACTTTTAACCTTTGGGTTTAATATTTAAAATTCTCTTCACCATTGCTCTCAAAAGCATCTACTTGGGCGGGTTCGACTTCTTCTTACTGCATAAACGTTTACATTTGTCTTCCTTCTGGTTGCATCAGCATTCACACTTATCTCTTCTTCACGATTGAGAACCTTTAAACCTTCGTCTTTAAGCCCCCGCTGTTTCTTTTCCTTCATATTCGTCTCCTGCTGTACTAAGATTCTCTCCAGCTTTTGGGGTTTACTTATGCCTTGCAGATGATGCTGCACGTGTGAGGGTGCCTCTCTTTTCAAGCAAGGACTGCTACAACTGGCTCCAAGCCGCACGTGGAGTAACCTTCTTCATCAGCCCCTTCGGTTGTCAGGTTGCCACGCTACTACCTTACTTCTTCGCAACAAAAGATCTAACTACTTCTAACTTTTTTTTCTCAAAAGCTAAGATGACACAAGCAAATTAAAGCACACCAACATGATATAAGCATAACTCTTATACTTATCACATTAACAACTTTCTCATAACTTTCAACTTTTAACTCTTCAACTTTTCAAAGGTAGCAACAAGGCTAAACGAGGCAACTGCTGAACTAACAAACTTGATTTCACCAGATAGGTGTACACTTGATTTGAAGGAATTTGACTTCACAAAGGAAGAAAGGAAAAGGTTTCTAATTTTGAAACTTAAGGGTACTACTAGTTATAACCAAAGTCCTGATTATCAATTCCAAGGTTTTCCAAGATTTCAACAAGGTCTTGTGAAACAAAACTTATGGATCGAATTCCAAGAGAAGGACACCACAAAGAATAATCTCAATGAGATAACTCAATACTAACGGGTTCCAAATAAAGATGTAATAAGGATTTAATCTCAAAACAATAGATCAACACTAGTGGATTCCAAATGAAGGTATAAAAGAGAGATGATCTAGAATCAATAGCTCAATAACTCAATAACAAAGAAAGAATGCTACACTGGACGATCTCAATACTATAGCAACTTGATCCGAGTGTACAAAAGAACACATGGTCAATAAAATAGATCTTCAATAACAAAACACTTTCAAGAATACTCAATAGATACAAGCTCATAGGAATTACTCAACAAATATGGATTCCAACGGCATAACAACAACGAATAGATCTTGGCTCAACGTCTCAATAGATTCCAACAATATGGATTTCAAGGGATATAAGCTTAATTCAAATACAATGAGATCCCAAGAATAAGGCTTTCAACAAAATCTTACTAGCTTCAAGATTCAATTATACTAGCATTGCAAGTCAACGGAAGCTCACAAGAATACTTAGAAGGAATTTATAAGCATTCTAGATACAGATTCAACAATAAATCATGGAATGTCAAGAATAGACATTTGCAATAATTCAAGGCTCAACTCAAACAAAACAACTTCTCATACTCAACTCTAGACATTAGATAGCTTCGATAGATATTGAAAGCAACTGAAAGTAGTCAGAATGACTCAGGGATCAATATCAAGCTACGAGAAAATTTCCAGAAGCATAAGCTCAAACTCGATGATAAAATTTCAAGAATTATCATGCCATTAACAATAAGGGATTTGAAATGGAAGTTTGGCACAATGAGCACAACAAGATACTCAGGAATTAACTACTTTTAACTTCTCTATTCGTTAAGCAAGGCTTACAACAAGTAAGGCATATAAACAAGCAAAGGCATCTTTTCTCATCTACTTTAACAACTTAACAAGAATAACTTCTCTTCTAAGCTTTAACTTCCAAAATCATGGTTTTTTTTTTCTTTCAACTTCTCTCTTTGCTTCTCTACTTTACTCAAAACATATAACAAGGCATAACAAGCACATTGATAAATCACATAAGTAAGGCACACGTATAAACACTTATACTTTCACATTAGCACTTTGCACAAAACTTCCACTTTCACAATTTAGCTTTCATAATCTCAACTTTTAACTTTCACTCTAGCTTCTCACTGAAAACTTCTCTGTTTCACTTTCAAAGGATATAAACAAGCACTTTAAACACATTGATAAAGCACAAAACGTAAAAGCAAACACAAAGGAACTCACGACCTCACCGCATTCCTAACTGATACTTAGAGTTTCTCTTAACTCTGATTCTCATACTTAGTCACTGGACTTAGAGTCTTTCTCATCTCAATTTTCATAACTTAGGGCTCTTCCCCTATTCTTATCCTTCTTAGGATTTCCACTTAATGTTATCTTCTTATCTTGTCTTTCTTAAGACTTCAACTTAAAGGTCTTTCCTTAACTTGACCTTCCTAGGATTTTCACTTAGAGTTTCTATACTCAATCTTAAGGATCAAACTTCCTAAGTTTCCCTCGGTTCATACCGCTCTGATACAAATTTGTAACACCCCACTTTTCTAACTCTGAATTACATCTCTAAACAGTCATTAACGTAACTAAGCAGCGGAAAACTAAAAGATAAATAGTGGGAGTGTCACCGCCACAACCACCACTCTTTGGTGATTACACAGGCTAAAAGGGTAAAACTAGAAATAAGATTAAGTCTGGGTACTAAAAACAAATACTAGAAATATAAGGGGGAAAAACGTCACCCCAACATAGTCTACATCAATCCTCAAACATATAAAGTCGATAAAACTACAATCCATACATAGCATCAATAGTACTAGAGTTTAGACATCTCTATCTACGAGACTAATCTAACTCGACTTCTTCACACTGCTGGGCCCACCTGAAAGGGATTTTGCAAGCAACACATAGACAAATAGGAAAACACCCGTTAGCACGAAGCTAAGTATAACCACACTCAACCCTGTAAAGTGTTCTAGCATATACTTTGAAAACATTTGATATCTTTATAGCAATAAGCTAATCTCAAATCATCTTTAGATTATCATATTCTTTCTAGATGCTTGCACCCTATAATATCAGCTGGTATGCTTATGTATGTACAAGACTGTTCACATAGATTCAACAGCTTATAAACTTCTCAGATAACTTAACAAGCAACTCATGCTTACGGATTAGATCATGTTAAAAGACCATATAACAGGTGTTTACATGCTTTCACATTCTTATCTCATAAATTGATAAGTAGAGCTTCTAATACAACACGATAATCATGCTCAAAGGAAAATCTTAAGTCAAACTTCTCGTTATACAATCTCTTACGATGCTCTATTCGCATGCGATCACGTATAACATTATGATCATACTTCTTATGCAATCTAATGCAATAACATATTCATACTCATATGCAATCTCGTGCAATTATATAATCATACTCTTATGCAATCTAGTGCAACAATATACTCATACTCATATGCAATCTAGTGCAACAATATAATCATACTCTTATGCAATCTAGTGCAACAATATACTCATATGCAATCTAGTGCAACAATATACTCGTACTCATATGCAATCTAGTGCAACAATATAATCATACTCTTATGCAATCTAGTGCGACAATATACTCATACTCATATGCATTCTAGTGCAACAATATAATCATACTCTTATGAAATCTAGTTCAACAATATACTCATACTCATATGCAATCTAGTGCAATTATATACTCTTACACTCATTTATAAATTAGAGTACTTTCTGTGGAGGTTTCTTTGTTACTTTCTCGAGTCTTTCTTGACTCACTTTCTTTCTCTCGAGTCTCTGTTGACTCTCTTTATTGAGTCTCTGTTGACTCTCTTTCTTTCTCTTATACTCGTAGACGGCTTAGGGTTTCATAGAAGTGTGAATTACCCCATCAGGAACGGCATAATTCCGACCCAATATCTCCTACCGTCAACGGAACCAATCTCGTGGTTCAAACTTTGTGGAATCAGGTATCAAACTATTAGTGTGCACACCCCCTAACCATGATTCCAAGCCTGGCGGGAAGTTTCCAACCTCGTAACGTGGAAATACGCCGCGTTACATATACTGGGACCGCAATGTCCATAAATATCTCCCGAGAGGAACATAGTCCAAACGGTATCCTCCAAAACCTCACCGATATAGATAATACATAAATATATCTCTCATGCATCAATCTCATGCATGCAACAATTCTACTACTTCTCAATGCATCAAAGAATGCTATACCACATGCTTATGGTTTTTGAAAGTATTCTTGGGCTCACGTTGGCCCCTTATGCATTTTTGAAATATGACTCATGTGAAATGTCAAAATGCTCTATAACATGCTTCTAAATCATGTATAAACTAATATGAAGTATTCAAGAATATATCATCATGCTCGGTTTGCAACATAGCAATTTCTATATAATTCACTCAACAAAATAAGATTCGATCCTCATTGATCAAATATCACAATTTAATCATGCTTTCATAATAAATCATATTCTCAAATGATCATGCTTCTTTACTTAATAAAATATCATCAGATCACAATAATCAAATAATTCTTCATACACAGTAAACTTAGCAAATATGCACTGTATAACAATTCTTCACAATTTCCTTCATAACATACTCGTTTTTAATCCAAATTCAACGAAGTCAAAGCCAAAACGTGCGTCAAGACAATCCCGAAGAGCCGAGCCACAAGGGCCCGTAACACTCGGTGCAAAACGACACGTAGTTGAGCCACAAGAGCCCGGCCACTGCACAAAAATCCTTCACAGACTATACTCAGGGACTTGGGGCGGGACTCCTCATGGTCCGCCCCTGGAGCCCCGTTAAAGCACCGGGACTAGGCAACGGCCCTCCTCTAGGGTCGTGCCCTAGTCCCGTGCCACCACGGCTCTAGCCGGCGGCCATTCTAATGGGCCGCAGCTAGGGCCGCCCCTCTGATATGGTGCACACTGTGTTGTGCACCATATGGTGTTTCACCAGCAAAAATTAATCCAAACCAGTCCAAAACAATCTCAACAACTCACAAACATATACTAAATCACTTCTAAGCATGAACACATAAAAAACTCATTGTTTTCTACTCATTTCTACTCGTAACAAAGGCTTCACAGAGCCAAATTTAAAGGGGAATCCAAGGGGTTATACCTTTAACCGAGCTCCAAAAGTTAAGCACTTGATTCTTTGACTCACTCCCGAGCTAACCACTTTAACAAAGAACCTGTAGATCAACCGATCCTCTTTCGTTACTCAACCATTTTATATAGTGTCACCACCATATTTAGACTCATCATTGGATAGCTCATTTATACTTCATTTATCCTTCCAAAATCATAAAACACCAACAAAGCTAAATATGTTGTTACATAGCTTCAAACCTAAGTTCTCTTCTAAATCAAACCAACCCTCTGACCAGTCTGCCACATCAACTATTTAATTATATTAACAACATTAAATACCCAAGCACCATTATTAGATTATCATTAGTCCATCATCAACATCTATACCCAACATTCCATCGTTATCTTCCTCATTAAACAACATTCCATCGTTATCTTCCTCATTAAACAACATTCCATCGTTATCTTCCTCATTAAACAGAAGCTCACCCATAACTGCCGAGGAAAGCACAACCACTGCACTGCTATCTCGCCGGAACCAGGGTCGCCGGAGAACCAAAGGACGCCACCGGGAGAGGAGCTCGCCGGAGGAACACCTGGGTCGCCAGATCTGCTTCGTTCCACCGGAAAAACGGCCACGCCGGACCTGGAGAATGCCAGAGCTTTGCCACACCCCTGCTTCACTCCATTCGTCGACTCTGCTGTTCGCTGGAGGAGGTCGCCGGCCACTGTCCATCTACTTCCGGCTAAAAACGAAGGAGGGAGGGAAGGAAGAAGGTGGAGGTTGCCGCTACTCCGTTGCCGTCACCACCACCGGTCTCAAGTGGTCATATGTGGTCATGTAATTAGGTGTGGCGGTGTGGTCGTATCTGTGTCGTTGAATCAGTTTAATCTAACGGTAGTGGTTAATTTTGAGGATTTAAGGATTTTCGCGCGTGGGGTGTTATGGTAATTGCAGTGGCCATTTATAGCGGTCGGGTTCCAGAATACACCAACAGTGTTGACAACATGCAGCAATAGTGTAATAAGATACACCACAGTGAAACACACCAATAGTGTATTCCTGAACACTGTATGGTGTATTTATTCATATCTAATGATGCGTTTTTGGTGATGCCTTCCTAATTTGTGTATGTTTTTTGTTGTGCATTTCATAACATGGATTGTGTATATTTGTATAACAATTGGTGCGCCCGCACTAACCACACAGGAAGGCGTTGCCGCACCTGAACTTGACACCAATGGTATTCTACAAATACACCAGAGTAAGACTAATAATACACCAATTACACAAATAAAACACACAACAATGTGATTTTCCCTATTCCGGTACCTTATGACGAGTTTACCCTTGCAGTTCGCTGGGTAGGAAAATGTGCTCGAAAATACTGGAAGAATCTTGATTAATGTGATCCATTTGATCTATCTAATCTAATGGCCTGTAATTGACCATATGACTGCACCTAACAACATGGCCACATGTGATCACCCATATATATATATATATATATATATATATATATATATATATATATATATATATATATATATATATATATATATATACTCTTTTGTCCCATTTTATTTGTTCTACCTAGTATTCATAGATCAAAGCAATTCTTTTTTCTTTGTTTATTTTATTTAGTATTTTTTATTTCTTTTTAAATTTAAATTTTGTGTTTTTTCTTTTTTGAAAGCTACTGATTCTATTATATTTTGTGTTTAATAGTACTATTAATACTGTTAGTATAGTTTTTAAATATATAAATTTTGTATACTAATATTAAATTTAATATTAAGAAAAATTGGACTAAAAATAATTTAGTCAACCTCTGGTTTATAAAATCAGACACATTTTAGACGAATGGAATAAAATTATGGTTTTCAAAACAAAAATTATCATTTAAAGAGAAGCCTTGAAATTCTTACCTCTCGACGACGTAATCGAACTCAAGCAGTTATTGTGGAGTGTGGACGATAGTACAAGTGTACAACTTGCTTCAAAATCCTCGAGAAAGAAGCTCTGGAATTGTCGATATATGGAGGTATCAAATCTCTGACTCACCACCCATGTGCGTATATGCATAAGTTTTTGTTTTGTCTGGGAGATTTGACTTAATTTTTGACGTTTCTCAATTCATCTCACGTTTCGTTATTCAGTAGCTGCAAGTCTTAAATCAGTGTCGGTTGAAATTGCTTATGGATATTTGAAATCTGAGCGTTGTATCGAGTAGCTGAATTAGAGAAATACCTGCAGATTCTGAATGTATTATCATATCACAGTATCTGGTGAAATTTGGGGATAATTGTGTTCTGCATTCCAGACTGTGGCTACATGCACTTCAATTACTCATTCATCAATGTTAGGAAATTCTAATCTATTCTTAGAGATAAGGAACCTAATCTCTCAGTGCTTGCAGAAGTTGATTGGATTGTTTCTGCAGTTCGATTGCTTAGTATTTTGGTGGAACACTTTATGTGCTTTGAAAATTTGGGGATTAAATGAGCTGTTTCTTAAAAGTTTAATTAACATATAGAGTTAATTGCAATTTCTACAAACAATGAACTCCATAGTCCATATATTCATATGTTTCAGAATGGAAGTCTTTGAGTTAAGCCAGAAGTTTTTATAAAGTTTTGGTACATATGGAATACGTGGAATGTTAATATGTTATTGGTCTGGTTTCTAGGAAATTTAAGGGCATAAATCTATCTATGACATTATCGCAGTGAAAATGTAAGAAAAAATGTGGTAGAAAACAATGGAGTAAAATGGTTATTGTTGGCAATGGGTGAAGTTTTGACTGCTTCCTTTGTGCAAATCAAGTGTGCTCTCTGAAATTTTGTGTTTCTTTTTGGTGGTTATAACTTGCTTGAATGATGGCAGATCTATAACTGCATATTATTCTTTCATACCATAATAAGATTCCCTTTCTTAATTTTTTTAGCAGTGATGCAACGTAAAAAGATAGTGGTGGTGAACAACCATGATGAGAAGCTTTTGGGCATATTACATGAAACAGGCTCTAAGGAGCTTGTAATTGTGTGTCATGGTTTCAAATCCTCAAAGGTTAGTTAAGTTCAACCTAGGGCTTAAATGAGTGGCAATTCCTGTGCGGTGCTTGTCAGTTGTCACGCAGTTGGTAATCCTTATATGAATGACAATTTCTGTTTGCTTTACTTTTTTTAAAAATTTTATTTCAGGATCGCATTCCCATGGTGAACCTTGCTGCTGCTTTTGAGAAAGGAGGAATTAGTGCTTTCCGCTTTGATTTTGCAGGCAATGGGTATGTTGCCAACTGCATAGCCAGAATAAAGTTAATAGTTGATATAGTCACAAGTAAACTTCTTATAATTTTTTGTTGCAATGCTGCTAATTTCTCATGATTCCCCCCTCCCCAACCCACCCCAAGGGCCTAACAAAACAAGTTCTGTATATCAAGAATTTAAGTTCTAGGGGAAAAAAGAATCTTCTGTAAAAATAAAAATGGTAAGTTGCCTCTAAACCTGATTGATGTGGGAACTTGTATTGAATGAGTAGTAATAACTTATTATGGTTCATAATTAGGCAAAAGCTGCAAGACTGATAGTAGCTGCTAATTGTTCAAAAACTTTTAACTTTCTATGCACGGCAGTAACATGAATTTCATTTCAAGATTCTTGAGTTGTTTGATTGGTTTTCTTCAGTAGATATTTTGTATTTCAGGATAAGATATCAAGCACAGTAATGTTCTTGCTTAGTATGTTTGGAAATCAAAGTTGGTGGAAAAGATGTATGATGTGGAAGAATAGGAATCATTAAATACTTTCTTAAAAAACCAGTTGTGTCCATGAGTTACATAGTGTATAACCATTGAACTTCTTGATCTGTTAGATGACAGCCCCAATGGTTGTGACTTCACGAGAAACTAACCTTGACAAGTTTATCTTATATAACACATGCAAACTCTATAAACTTTTTTGAGGCAAAAAATATGAACGAGGAAATGTAGGAATTAATTGAATTTGACAAGTTTAATGATATGTTTTGACGTGATTAATTATTCCAATTAATGAGGATTTTAGTCTTTTAAGAATAAGAATAATAAGGTCTAGTAAATTTTGCATACAGATTATGCCCTCTTCTTCAGCTGAGCTGAATCTTGCAAAACAATTCATCATTCTATCATATGTTCAAGAAAGTACCTTGTCCTACAATTATGTTTTTGTTTTTTGTTTTTTTTGTTTCTTTTTTATTATCATAATTCTTTAAAATTATTTATACAATTATACCTTCCCTCTTCCCAACAAAGTGACAAACTCGCCCAAAAAAAAAAAAGAATCTGAAAAAGCATTTTTGTGTTCTAACATATGTTCAGTACATGTAGCTTCTCGCTTATGCATTTCCTAATGCCTTTTCCAATACTAATGTTAGTGTGCACTGTGCATTCTTCCTTTGAGCACTTGTATGGTCCACAATATTCACTTAGCTTACACCGGCGATTTGTTATATGGGCTCAGTAGAAAATCCCTATACGGCCTGTGTCCGGGCTTACCCCTTTTGCTTCTCACGTTTGAAATGGAGTACTGCTGCACTCGATTTTCCGACTTAAGGGAAGGACATTTGTTTAGTCAACTATAAGATAAGATGTTTCTTTGAAGAACCCTCATAAACAGTGTTCTTGAAAAACTTGATGATGTTGATTTTAGCAGTTAGTAACATTACTGTTTTCATTTCAGAGAAAGTGAGGGTTCATTCCAGTATGGTAACTACCGTAGAGAAGCTGATGATTTGCATACTGTAGTTGAACATTTTCGTCAGAATGGACGTTTCATAACAGCAATTATTGGGCATAGCAAAGGTATGAAAATTACATCTGTTGGTATTCCATGATTTCCATCCCAACACCCCTGTTCATATATTGGACATTTTCCTTGATCATATTCATTTTAGTAATGCATGATATATGATATTGTGAAAACTACACCAATATCTAAGTAACTTCCATCATAAAGAGGGCATGGCTCGAGTGACTTAAGTTATACTGTAATTTTTTACTCTGATCACATTAATACACTTCCATTTTTCCTTTCATCATTTCTGTTCTACTTTGTTCACTTAATTCTTTTTTTTTTTTTTAATTATTTTTTTATGGAGAAGAGGAACACTGTTTAAAATTTTCATGGTGTATGCTAAATCATATATAAACTATTTTTTACAATGCAAAGCTAAAATTATGTGCCTCAGTTTAACACTACGAGATGGGATTCTTACTGGTTCCTTTATTCAGGAAACTGACTAGTCACTAGTGGCTTCTCCAATTTGCACTTATATTCCATTTTGATTGTTTAAATATTCTTTCTTGGGAAGGAAATGGGGAGGATTCTCTACTTCTCTTACGTAAAGTGTTCTTGATATTATACATATGCATAGCTTTTATATTTGTTTCAGTACTGTGGCCTCGTTTTCTATTTGATGCAAAAGATAAATAGGTCTTGCAGCAGCCCTATTTGACACTGCCGAATGAAATTTTTCTAGGAGGGAATGCTGTGCTTTTGTATGCATCAAAGTATAGGGATATACCAACAGTCATCAATATTGC